GAATCCAGGGAGAGCATAGGAAAGTAGATTTTTGTGTTACCTTTGTATTTAGAGTGACTATCCTATAGAAATGAAGTTATAACAGGTTTATCACCATGTTTTTCTTTTAATTTTAGTTTTATAAACACTGCGTAAAATTAGCATTTGTTGCAGCTCTGTCACTTGCTAATCAATAGTTTAAGACGCAGTCAACCAATTCTTCCATTTAATTTTATACCAGACCAACTCAAAATTTTTTTTTTAAGATTTATTTATTCATATAGAACTGGGATATAGGCCAGAGATGTGGAGGGTAAGAGGATTCACCAGAGACAGAACAGGGAGCAGAACAGGCAGATCGATGAAGTACACTGCTGAGGGGAGCAGCGGGCGGGTCAGGAGAGGTCTGCCACACCATGTGGTCACCTCTGGGGCAGGTGGGAATCGAACTCATGCGGAAGTGGCTTAAGCTTTTTAGAGCTGTGCTTTAACCCTATGCGCCACCAAGGAGGGCCACCAACTCAAGTTTTAACCTCCCTGAATGTACATACAAGTAAATTCAATTTCTTAATTTCTGTACATGCTATAGTCCACTAATTTGTAAATAATTGTTGTCAATAACAGCTATGAATTCCTGTTTTATGCCATCTGAGCATTAATGAACATGTCAATAAGTTATCATCTAAATCTCAGATTTAAAGCCCTCCTTCACAGCACAACAGGTTTAAAGCACAGCACTATAAGGCTCTCTCAGCCACTGTGATGAGATGCAAGTTCGATCCCCAGCCAGGGAAGTGACCCACATGGGGTGGCAGACCTTTCCAGATCTGCTCCCCCCCAGCAGTGTATTTGATTTATCTGTCTCTGGTGAATCCTCTCACCCCCTACAACTCTGGCCTGTACCCCATTTCTTGTACGCATAAATAAATCTTAAAAAAAACACAACAACTCAGATCTAGTCTTAATAGGTAACAAGCCACAAAATATTTGTCCTCTAATTTTACATTAGATTATCCTCTACAACGTATCTTTAAATTGAAAAAGGTAAAACTGTAACTGATGATAAATTATCTAAGTACTAAAAACAAATTATTAGGGGATATCATTTGTGGTGGTTAACAAAATATTTGGCTTTACATGCTCAAGGCACATACAATATAATTATCTGGAGAATCTTTAACCAGTAATGATCTCCAAAAAGTTATGCACTGTGGTGATTCTTTAAAATTATGTAGTTTAGATTTACAACTGTACAGAACTGTACAGAACTGTACAGATCAATCTAAACATCTTATTGGGTCAAAGAGGACACAGGCTTAATTATCAGAAATTAAGCAGAGCAAGGGGTTATGATAAGAGGAATGAAGAGATCAAATGGTGTTTATAATATTGTGTGTCATAACTGAGTACTGGTTCCACAGGGGTGCTGAGTTTGAGCTGCATATTTATAGTTATGAATAGTATACTTGTCTGACAGAAACTGCCATTTCAATAGAAAAACTTTTAAAAAGTCTTATCACTAGCATTCAAGAATCAGATTAGCTGAGTTTTGGGTTAACAAGAATTGGAGGGTGTTAATGACTTAGCTTTTTAGATGAGTAAAAGAAAAACTGGCTCAGATAGCACCTACTGTATTATGATATCAGCATCTTAATTATGATTTGCTCCTAATTTCAAAAATAAAATCTTATAGGGGAAAATGATTGAAAATAATGGAAGCTTTTTCTGACACAAATACTTGTGGTTATTTAAATGAGAATTTTTTAAATTCAGTAATTTTTAAACTAGATTTAAACAGATACAAATAAAAAAATACTGCTAAAAAAAATCTTAACTGAAACTGACAAGAATCTTTCACTTTAACAACCCAAGTAGACCACTTTCCCTATTAATTTCTCTCTATGTAGTGGTGCTAACATAGGGTAAGATAAGCCAGCTCAGTTATTGTTACTCTCATTTGTTAACAACATTTATGCATTTTCTTCTTAAGACATTAATATTGCATGTTTATCAATCAGATTAAATCTTTATAAGAGATCTGATTTCTTTTTAGTGTACCTAAACTTAAGCTTCTTCCCCCTAGTACTCTGGCTTTATAGATCTAATATCTACAAGAGGATACAATTTGCTATAAATTTTTAGCCTAAGCTTTTGTAGACAATGGACTCCCCGTGAAAATCTGTTCCCCAGTGATCACCAGGATAAGTCTCTAATTTTGTTGATTAAACACAGAAATGCTAATAATTAAGTTCTTTAAAGAAGAGAAATAGGAAGTCGAATTTTAAAGTTATGATTCTAAAATGCCAACAGGGTAGGGCATTACTAAAAATTGACTGTTTCATAGTAAAATAATCTCTAGAACAGTAACAATGGAAGCTACATTATTACTAATTTTAATAGCTAATGTAAGCTGCCTGGGCTTTCTAAGAAATGAGCTGCTTTAATTTTTATGCTGTTATGCATTGTTTTTATATTTGGTAACTGCAAGTAATAAAAAGGGAAGACAGAAAACGATGGCACTTAGAAGAGAAAGGAAAGGAAGGCTTGAAAATATGTTTATAATACTAGTCCAATAAGGGAACAAAGCATGGGATATCAATGGAAAGAAATATCTAAATACAAACAAAAACAGACTGGCAAAGTTTCTTAAAATTTGCTAAATCTAAAGAGGGAAGAAACAAAAGGGTTCATTAGAAAAACTGTATCAAAATGAGAAAGGTAAGATAGTTACTTATATTTTAGTTAAGATACTTAGCCAAAAGAATCCTGGGGAAAATGAGATTCCAGTCTTTCAAGTAAGGAAAAACTAGGGAGCTTCAGATTTTGAGTGCAGGTGAAAACTGGCACAGGGCTTAAAAGCTGCGCCTACTGAAAATGAATTTTTAAGATTTCATAAACTGGAGTCTGAAATATGGTACCCATCAATACTAAAAGACTAGTTTATAAGTTACAGTAGATAATGTTAAGAGATTTGTAGTTTCTTAAATGTCTGAATGATTCTATGTAACAGAATTATCATTGCCAAATACTTATTTCTCAAAGAAAGAAAAACAAAAAACACCTCCCAAATTTCTAAAACTCAAAAAGAACAAGGCAATTTTGTAATAGCCACACAAACAAGGCCAGAAGCTATATTTAATGCATTTTTAAAGTTTAACATAAATTGCCACCATCATCTTCAGTTAAAAAGGAGGGTTTCACTACTTTCTTAGGCAATATATGTATAAAAAGGCTGTAGCTTCTGGTCAAATAAAGTTCCAGATAATTAGAACTAAAAAGCTACTGTTCTTCTTACACAGTAAATTATTAATAAGCTACCTGAAAAGTTAAAAGGAAGTCCTTAGTTAATTTTTATTGAGATGGGCTAGTTACCTCAGTACCAAAAAGTTAACTTACAGTGAAGAATAGCTGATCTGGAATATAAATTATGATTATATTTTGGCATTAACACACTACAGAGAAGTCTCTACTAACTTCTTTGGTCTGGACAACAGGCTCCAAGAAGAGACACTATTTCAATTCATGAAAAACTACAACACAGCAACTTGCCTCATTTCTGATACCTTAAATGTTTCTGGGTATCTAAAAAAAGAAAACAGATATGGAGTATTTAGCTGTAACAACAAATGAGTGGGCAACTTCTATGACTAGTTTATAATGCAACAAAAGAAGTTTTTTTAATATTAGAATCAAATTATAAAACAAAGCCAAAACTTTCTACAGCTTGATGAAAATAACTGGTATCATTCAAACTGATGTTATAGCAGCTCACTAAAGTTAGCTATTTGAAATAAATTACCATACATCTGAAAACTATTCTTATATTTCTAGATATATTGCTGTTTTTCCTTTTTCTGCTGGAGAACTATAAAACCACCCCAAAGTATTCACCCTGGCTAGACATCATAAAGCATTTGAGGAATTAAACCGTCATGCTGTTTTATGTTGTAATTTACCTTTATGTCTCAATTTACATTTCCATAGCACAAGTAACCATTCTATTTTATACATATGGTACTACAAATTTTAAAACCTCTTGTTCTACAAGTAATTATTTTTAAACATTTTTAGGTAAGCAAGGAACCTATCACTGAAAAGATACGTTGTTAGAAAATTTCTTTAGAGTGACACACAGCAAATCAAGCCTAAGAAAAGACTGTTACCATGTCTAGGCAATGTAAACCATGTCTTAACATGGCAGGTACATGCACTTAGCAATACTTTTTACTAATGAAAGAAGAGAAGTTAAGGCCATGAGTGTTATCAAAAGTATGCTAAAGAACACAAATATGTTGCCAGGCAGAGTTAAAAGAATCTAACAAAGCTTTGTGTGAATTTTAAAAACATCGCTTCTATTAATTTGACACAGAATGATGGAATGCTAATAATCAACAAAATAACTAAACAGCGCATACACTACTTAAAATGTGTATTAAGCAGAAAGATAAACCAAAGTACTTTTTGCTATAAATGAATACCAAGACTTCATTCTTTATTTTAAAAACTCAGAAATAATCTATATAACATTTCTGTGAAACAACTAACCATTTTTGGGATTTACAAAACAGTAATACAAATCTAGTGAATCCTAGCAAACTTACTTGATGCCAAGGTCTCTAAGAATTCATCTATGACTACTTTTACACCCTAGTCTTTTTCTTCCTCTAATTTCACTATGGAATTACAGAAAAATCACATAAAATAGCTCAAAACTGAAATTACTTAGGTAGTTTATGCTTTTATATTAAAATACACATGGGTAAATGGATATTTCACATAAAGTTCAATAAAATATGAATATTCTTATAAACTCAGTACAAAGAATAACATGTATATATTCAATATAAAATAAACTGGCCTTTTGGTTTATTTTGCTGCTTTGTACCATGCTAGATACCATATGCTCTTCCCCCTCCCCCCACAAATAATATAGATCAGTTAATGATGAAAAAACAGTACAGTGCAAAGCAATTCATGCATACACTTTTGCATGTATGCATTTTATACTTAAGTATTCATACCTATCCCAGAGGTTCTTTGATTCCTGAAACGTATTCAAATGGAACGCTTGGTAGAAAGCAGTTGAAGGATTCCTGTGAGATCCAAGAATCAAATGGAAATGAAGTTGAGAAAGTACAGTAAAATCACTACTTTTAAAAAAAAAAAAAAAAGATGGAAGATTTTAGATTTCTAATACAGTGTAAATGCTTTAATAAAAATGAGGGGAAAACCCATCCAAGCTTGTCTAAAAACATTTTGAAAGAAATTAAAAAACTGGAGAAAATCCAACAGACCCTGACTATCAGGATCACAGTTCCAAATCTAAATACTGACAAAATTAAATACTAAATGATATCCAGTTGTGTCTGTGTGTGTTGTATGTGTGTACATATGTATGAATATGAGGGGACATGGATTAAGCACCTGTCTATCAGATGTCTTTGTAAATCCTTAAATGTTTAGCAGTTTAACAAAGTTGTCCTCAGGTACAATATTGTAAAATAAGCTACACATGCACAATATAAAAGTTTTTCATAGGACTGGTTTGCTAGGGTTTGATGATGAAGGATGAGTTGTCTTCTAGATTGGATTTGAAACAATTTCCACTTTCATATCTATTTGTTGTTTTCTTTGAGATTGGGCAGAAAATAAGGGTTCTGGGACTGTCTGGCAACTTTCTTACATTAAAGCTGTGACTCTCAAGTGGTTTAAAGCATATTCACCAGAACTGCCATCCTTTGGCACAGAACATTCCCTAGGGCTATAACCAGAAAAAACTGGAGGGCTCTTCTGGTCAAACTCCAGGAAGACACTTCTTTTCTTCCACCTAAGCATACTTCCATAATCTCCCTCACCACTAATTTGCACATTAGGGAATTAACAAAAATTTGCCACATCACTTCTAAAACTGTTAACCAATGCTGTATCAGACTAAAAGGAGCAAGCTAAAAATATACTATTCTTTAACAGTAAATTGTATAGTACTTATTATATATAGTGTATATAAATATTACATAGTGTATAATATAGTATATAATAACCTAAGTGCTTATTTTACACCACACACTATTCTAAGTACTTCAATTCTGCAACAGCCCTAAAATGTGGGTATTATTCTTAATCTCATACATAAAGGAAATTGGGCCAGATAAAAAGCAACTTGGATAGCTCTCTTGCCCATCTGTAACTATGATTTTCTACTTTTTTCCTTTTCTTAATAAACCTGTCTTTGTAAAATGTGAATAAGAGTAACTTGGATGTCTGAGCTAGTAGGAGGCAATTTTTTTTTTAAGATCATTTATTTGTGCATACAGAACTGGGGTACAGGCCAGAGAGGACTCACCAGAGACAGAGTGGGGCGCAGATCAGGCCAAATGACGAAGTATACTGCTGAGGGAAGCAGCGGGAGGGTCGGGAGAGGTCTGCTGTGTCATGTGGTCACCTCCCTGGGGCGGGAATCGAATTCATGCTGAAGTGGCTTTAGCTTCTTAGTGCTGTGCTTTTAACCAGCTGTGCCACCCGGGAGGGTCCAGAGGCAATCTTTCTTAAGAGTTTATGCTCTTAAATGGCTATGCTGAACATACAGCAGAACAAAATTTTAACCTCTACAGATCGTACTATATCTAGCTTGCAAGGCAATTGCATACATAAAGTTCCTAGCATAAGTCAATAGCCAATAAATGACAGCAATTATTTTAACATCAAAATGAGGTTCAGATTATTAGTATGGCAATTCTGAGACCCCTGAAAGATTCTCTTCAGGGCCTTCCTGGTGGCACAGGGGTTAAAAAGTCTCAGTGCTATCAAGCTATCACCATCAACTGCAGAATTAGTTCAACCCCTAGCCATGGAGCTAACCCACATGGTATAGCAGAGTTCTCTTGTATATTTCAGTCAACTGTTCCCCAGTTCTCTGGTTCTCTGGTGAATCCTCTGAGCCTCCAACCCCCCACACCTCTGGCCTATATCTCAGCTCTTGTAAGCATAAGTAAATAAATCTTTTTTAAAAGTCTCTGCAGTGTTATCAGTAAAGAAGAAAAATATTTTACAAGTTCTATTGGAATAGCAGCAAGCATCAACAACCATGAAACAAAACAAATAAGCAATAGAATTTCACCATTTCAAAATTCAGATTAAGACTAGAGTTGTGTTATCTACAGTATCAAAAATTATTTTAAAAAATAATTCTAACCAGTAGACTATCTCTTAGATTACCCCAAATTAGGAAAAGCGGACAATGGATGCTAGAATGTCACTGAAGCAACTGATTAATTAGGTGTCTTCCATTCAGACCTTTTTCTAGTTTTCTAAGGTCTAATATCTAAGGCAATCAAAGGTAGTGATTAGACTACTATCATCAGGAAAGGATTAAGAGATTGCTAACTGCTGTTTATTTAAAGTTTACAACCTCTCAAGATGTATTTGTCAGGTCTCTCTCTAACCCCCATTTTCACTGTACTTAGAAATTAGCTTGCCAAATTAAATGAGGCCAACTGAACCAAGCAGAGACTCAATTTGGCTTTCTTTATTATCAGGCTTACCCAGAAACACATGGGAACTAGTTTGCTATTCATACAGGTCTGTTTTGGAGATCCTGGGTTTAAAATAAATACGAGTGACTCAAAGAGGTGGATTGTAAATAAAAGAGAATAACAAAAAGCTTAGAAGTTATTCTGCAAGTCTGGAATTTCAAATTCATTAAAGAGTATTAGTACAATATATTTTTAAGGATAACTTTTAAATAAGTTAAAGTCCACTCACTTTGGTAAAATAGGTGTACATATGTATCTAAAATTCGTATGTTACATAAAATGGTTTTAAGTGAAGTTAGGTGATTTAAGGTGAGAAATTCCAGTATTTTACAAATTCCACTAATAATGAAATATTTCCTATAAGTCAAATGTGTAAGTGAAAAAAAAAACCTACAGTTATATAATCTGGGGTATGAAAAGAACCTATGAAATAAAACATTGTAAATGGACAAGAGTCTTTAGAACATGTCATAGCAATTACATGTTCCCAGAAGTTGAAAGTTACCACTTTCTCCATATATTCAAAACTGAGAAGCCATACAAGGTTATATAATTCATGTATTACAGAAAACTTTAAATGTCTAGATTCTTATTATAAAAGAGGAAATTTCTGGTTTCCAGGGTTATTTCAGAATACTTTCATTAGGATGTTATCCAGAAACTGAGATTTTTAGCAAATATTAACAATAAAGAGTCTCGAAACACTGATTAACAAGCGTAGATTAAATAATTCACACCAGGAAACCTCTCCAATCAAGAACTTCAAAAGAGTCATTTCTAAATACCAAAGGCCTAATTATCAAAGACTTCAGTTTTGGGTGGGGTAAAAGTGAAGAAATTAACATCCCGAGGAAAACACTGGCTACTAGGGACCATTTCAAATGTACAGCTTCTGATATTTGAAGGTACCAAGAGATAACCGACATGTTAAAAATTTGTTATAAAGGAATATTTTATGCAGTTTTGATTATAAAGTCTCTTCTACCCTTGAAGTAAAATTTGAAACCAGTTTCAACACCATAGTTGATGTAAATTTAAATTACAGATCTAAATACAAAGTCAATGAACCACTTGTTAGAGAGGGGGAACTCTAGTTTAATCTGAATTTATTTCACTCACTAAATGAAGGTGCTGTTTTCCTATTTGCAAATATTTTTCAAAACCCAGTTTATTTTTTATTCCTTAAGTTTATATACTGGCCTATCATGTTAATTTCCAAGTCCATGAAAGGTGATTCAAAGCATGTGGTGTAGTTCTATCTGTTTTATTGAGATATTATCTTTAAAAGTAACTATGATTGGTAGAAAAAACATGCATACAGTTTTACACCTCAAAATTAAGCTATAGAATTAGTGAAGCTTAAAGGATCAGGCACCTGAGTTTTGAAATGAGTAAGCACCTTATACTTCTATGTTATAATAACTGCACAAATCTCTAAATAGAAACTAGAGAGCTATATAAAATAAGCAGGGAGCACAACAAAGGCCATCTCCAAAGTTATCATTTAGGGATTTTAAATGATCATAAAAATATACTTAGGTAAATGTGATAGATCAGTGTTTACAGTAGCCACCCTCTCTTCCTATCTTACAGACAGCGAGGTAATGAAACAAAACTTAACTCTGGAGATACCTGAAAGTACTAGCTTGAGAGTCAGAAAACCTGGGTCTTAAATTATTTCTTTGTCATTTAACAACTGTTTGAGTCAAATCCTCAAAGCCTCAGTTCCCTTAACCCATATAAAGGGGAGAAAACCTTTATTATACATAAAACCTGACATAATTAAGCTTGGTTTGTGTTGAATATATGGTTATTATGATTTTAGATTTAATCTATTTTAGGTATTATCTATGATTATAGATTTTATTATACTGTAAATAAAATCAACTTTTGGTACAGTATCTTATTAACCAACATGTACCAAATATTTCATTGTTACTAAAGTAATATAGAGGCAAACAATAAAGAAAAACAGAATACTTGAACTCAAGAGCTAGGACTACCAAAATATTTAGTACATTTTAATGCTTGAGAATTCTGGCTTTTGGGACTCAAAGCCAGCACTTCCTCTCCCCTACAGGTAGTCCCTATACATAATTTTACCACAATATTTTAATTGCAATAGTTCTAAGGTACATAATACTTTAGTAAGAATTTCAAGAAAATCCTTTAACAGCAACAATAAACTATGATAAAAATCTCAATTTCTTACCATGACATCTATGGACTCTGGTTTCTATCAATTAATCACATTTTCCATTCATCCACACTGTTTTACAAACTGCCTTGTTATACTACTTGGAAAACCAACCCTTTCGCTAATTTATGACCTAATCTGAATGACCCTTTAAAAATTCAGTTCAAGAGTTATTCTCAAAAGAATGTATTAGTAATAATAGTCTGTTTCTGAGGACAATACTGGATCACTGGTGGACAGATGTGTTCACACATTGAAAAGGGACTTTCAAGTAATACACTTGTTTAAATTTTGAACTTTACAAATGCAGAGAATAAACTGATTTTAAACTGAAGTCAATCTAATTACTACTTCCCCACACTAC